TAGACATCTTCTTCTGATTCTGCTGCTGCTTCTGCTGCTGCTTATTTTTTGAAGGGCCGCGCATTTAAATTGCCAGCATTTTGCTTAAATTCCAACGGAACTGCTATCTCCCTCTTTGGATCTCTCACTCGCTCTCGCTCCCTCGGACTCTGCCTTCTCTTACCTTTGCTTAAGCAATTTATTTTTTCACACTCTTGCAGGAAGCGTAAAAGTGAGTATATTGGCTTTCGCAATTGTCTCTCTGGTTTTCTGTTTATCTGTGTGATTTAGTGAGTTGACAGAGAACTAAGAATACATTTTGTGGAGGTGGCAATTGAGAAGATCAATTTTTCTGGGCGGTGTTCATTGTGAGGAGAGAATTGAGGAGAGAGATATTTAAATTTTGTACACTGGAATATTAGATATGGAAATATTAGACTACACTAGGAGTGAGAGAAGAAGAAGAAATGTAGATGAATAGATATAAGGAAAAAAAATAGATGATGATATAATTGATAATATAATGATGATATGATATATTTTACATCATATAATTGATGTTCTTAGTCAAACTATATGTATGAAAACATCAGATGGTAGAATACTATTGCTCTTATCTAAGCATTGACTATATATAATACATACATGTATGTATATATCTAGAAGGCGTGTTAAATCGAGAGAACTCAATCCATCACAGAGCTATAATCAACAATCATTTTGAATTTACTTTACTTCTTATATGTGAAGCTCTATATGAAAGCCTATGACAATATATGGCATGGTCATTAGGGCGTGGCATGAAAAACCTAAATTTGGACACGGACTACCATGATTAATTCCTCTACAGATAGACCTGTACTTTATAGGATTTATTTAAAATATTTTCAAAATTCTAATTAATTTTATATTATCTCCATAGTCTGGATAACCGCAGAGCTAAAGCTTAAAGCTAGACTCTTAATGTATACACCACATTCATTTCCTCATTTCCTCCTCTTTGCACCCCTAAGCGAGCATGCTGCAGTCGATCAGAGCCCTTCTGACTCATTCTAACTCGCTTAAGATATTCAGTCTGTATTTTCTGCTCAGCGCTCAGTCACTCACTTCCTACTTTCCATTTTTTCTTCTTCTTCTTCTTCTGCTGCTGCTCCCGCTGCTGTGTATAGTTACGCTTGATTACTCGCGCGCTGGTAAACAAATTTTTTAGCGGCATCAACAACACCTTTTGCCTTTTTCTTTCGCCCTGCGAGGCTGGCTGGGGCTGGCTGTGTTTTGACGCACACACAAAGTACATAATTTCATTTACAATTTACAATTTGGCTTCTTTATCAGCAGGCAGCTCGGTAATTTGCCCTTAAATTCCAAATTAAAATCTACGAAGGCGACACGCTGTCGCCCCGCCCTTTCTCCTTTTCTTTTTTTAGGAAGTTGACTTTACTTCCTGCATAGTTTGACACCTTGTCGAGACTTGGCAATAAACTTGGTAATTTAAGCAATTGAAGCGCCTGCTTCTGCATTAAAGTATCTAATGTATTGCAGCAGAGCAGAGGCTGGGGCAGGGGCAGCGGAAGCGGCAGTGGCAGAGGCAGCGGGTTCGAGTATCTTGACTGATGTTTATGGCGCTGCGGCCAAGCTTTCTTTCACTTCTTTTTTCTTCCAACTGTAATAGAATTTTCACTAGAGATAGACAGAGCGTGTGCTGGTTGTGGCTGCGGGGAGGGGGCGGTGTATGAAAAACAAATTTATGGAATTTTTAGTGCGAAATTTTTATTTGCATAAGCGCATAATAAAAAGTACTGACGCTACATCAGATGCATGCAACGACAATGGAAGCCGGGCAGAAGTTCAGCCACAGTGGCAGAAAGTCGACAAAAATTAGAACACATAAACAGTTTAAATACTCTATGTTTTTTCACACTTCAACTAGCTAACTGTGGCAATGATTCAATTTGAAACTGAATGTAAACCTAGTTCAATCTGTCAAGACAACTAACATTTGAGTTTGTTAAGCTGGCTGCAGAAATTGCTGCTGCACAGTGGGACAAATCAGGAATCAAGATTGCTGTGGAAGGAAGGCCTATAACATTTCGCGAAATGATGGGAAACTAAAAATATATACCAATAAAAAAATTAAAAATAATAGCTAAATTATTTAGTATTTTTTTTTTTTTTTTATCATTATTAAAATTCTAATAAAATGTGAATAATTTCCTATATAAATATTTAAAATTTATAAATAAAATTTTTTATATTTATTTTAATTTCATTTTATTTATAATTATTATTATTATTATTATTTTTTTTTTTTGTTATTTATAATATACAAATAAATTAATATATAATATACAAAATAATTAATATTAATATATAATAAATTTGTTTATTTTTTAATATTTTTTTTTTTAAATATTCTTTCTCCAATATGTTTTTTATGCTCTCTTCATTGAAGTCTCCCTGCTCTCTGCCTCGTTTGGATATGCCTTGGGCATATCATTTGATCCACAGACAAATCGCTCTTGCACCACTGTGGCAGCATTTTGGTTTCCAGCTTTCCACGTGAGTGGCATGTCGAATATTTTATGTGCACGTTTTCTTTTTGGCCATTGAAATGAGTATGAACATGAGTTCTCCTAAGGCTTGCGTGGAGTTTGTTTTTTCCTTTTGGTTTTATATATCTGTGTTTATTCCCTTTTTGTTTGTGGAGGTTGCGGGAAATAGTGGGCGTGCACTAGTGGGGGCGCGGCTTATGCAGGACGTTTGGCAGTCATTTGCATTTCCGCAAATGTAATATTTATGACCATTGTGTTGAGATGTGTTTGTCTGACTTGACGGTTGCTATGTCAGTCTGTCAAGTTGTTGTCCTCTTCACCCACATATACATACGTGCTAGCTTGTCTTTCTCGACTGTGTGTGTGTGTGTTTTGCAGTGCACTAAAACATTCATAACATTCAAGCTGACCAAAGCATTTATGTTGAAACAAAGTCGTTTGGTCATGCGGCCAGGCTTAGATGAGTTTGCCAAAAACAACAACACACACACATGCTAGCATGCATGCATGCACATGTATACGCACACATACATACATACATGTATATAAGGCAACACATAGTTCAGAAATCAAATAATCTCATTGAACGCATTCTTCCGCACCAGAAAGTTTTAACAAAAATGCATTGCTAATGCGATATGCGATAAAAATGCACTGAACGCAAAAATTTATAAGCAGTTGCCCAACAAATTCGGCACGCTGCACGCCCTTAATGGCTCCAGCCTCTAAGTTATGGAGCATAGATAAAAACTTTTAATGTGTATTAGTAAGCAGTTCTTCTGCTTCCCACCTGGCGATACGAGCGAACATTTTTCAATTAGTTTCAAAAAATTGCTGACTATAGCTGAAGGTAACACAGATCATGGTGTGGGAGTGTGTGTGTGAGTGCTTGTGTATGTGTGTATAGCTAGCGCCTTTTCAGGCGTTAAGTTAAACTAATTAGAGGCCTTCGGATGCCAAGGCAAAACAAAAGCAAACTCATGCGTGCACAGCCGGCATCTAAATTTTAACTTCGTTTACAGCTACAATCTTTTGGGCCAACAATTGAGCATGATGGACCAAGAGTAGGTCGGTAACGCGAGCTTAAGTCTAATGGGTCTAGGTCTGTGTATGAGAAAATTGGAAATAAGCATATATAAAGGGTCCCAAAAGGAATTATCAAATTAGACAGAAACTAGACAGAAACATAAGACTAAAGCGTAGCTTAACTGCTGACTTAACTTTCTTCTACGCATGATATTCTGTGCAGTTCTGTTAAAAAATTACAGGGTATACGCCGTGCTAGAGGCACCCAGCAAGGCAATTTGCGCATAATCGAATTTGCTATTTTATAATCATACAAGGCACTTCGGCTGACTGCCTGGCACAGTGAGCTACAGCACATAATTTCACACAGGCACAGGCACAGGCACCCATCCTCTCTCTCACACACACACATATATATAGGCTGCCACACACATGTGTAAATAACATGCATATTGTATGACTTCCTTAAGCTCATGAAAACTGCATGCAGCTGGCAAACATGAGACTTAGGCAGCCGACGCAGAAACTCAGAAAGTCTTGTCATACACACACACACACACACACTCGGACACACACATACACTAATATCACACCCATACAGTGTCTCATAAAAGTAAGCACTTCAGTGGTTTTGTGACCAATTTTTGCAACAGCCTTCCAAAATGTAAAGTGTAAAATGTGAAATGTAAAATGTGAGCTAGGCACAGCAAATGCTGTTAGCTGAAGTGAATTTGGCTATTTGAATGTGGTTGACCTTTCGACCCAGAGAGTTATGATAATTGCCAAGGCAAAAGGGTTCAGCTCTACATATATGTATGTATGTATCCATGCTCTATGCATTGGCTATTAGCAGCCAGCTACAGCGCATTTACAGCATGTCGATATTTTTGCTCTCGGGCCTTGGGTCACAGTAAATTTCGCTCATTTGTGTAGCTCGCTCGTTCACATAATATTAGCCGGAAGGAAGGACAATTTTGGGACCGATCTGTGCGGCGAGTGGACAAATTTGTGGGCTTAGTAAAGGTATTCGAGCAGAAACTAAGTCTAAATTTCTAATGGGTGTTATAAATCCGGTAAATTAATTAACTATTGGCTTGTTTCAGAGAGCGGAATATAAGCGCGTGTGTGTATGAGACTATATTAATAATAATATATGTATTAGCTAGTAGATACGAGCATTAAATTTAATTTTCTTCCAACAGACTTTAAAATAAAATGCAGCTAATGAAAAATGTAAGCAGCTGAAAGACTCTCTGTTGTTTCTTTTAGATATTTCTTTTAACTATATACATGTATGTATATATTTGGACTCCTCTCTCACTTCCTTTCACTTCCCTTCTGAGTTCCCTTCAACTCTCTGCTGTCGCATAACTAGCTGTCCCCATGCTTAGCTAATAGCTATCAAATTTACTCAGTTCAAAGAAACCTTCTCATCGTACTCACCCACAACATTGAAGGTATAGGAGAGCGACATTTTGGGCTCGGTGTTGATTTGGCACTCGTAGACGCCCGAGTCGCGTGGCTGGGGATATTTGATTTGCAGCGTCCAATTGGCTGAGTTATCGGGCCGCAGAACCTACATACGAGATTAGATGAGCCAATTATGTAGACTTTGGCTCAAAGGGCTGGAAAATACGTCGCGACTCACCTGAAAGCGCTGATCGGAGGTGTAGGTTGTGCTGCCTGCCGTGAGTATATGCAGATCACGTTTGCGTATCCATGAGACCTGTAACAGAATCAAAAGCGGAAAAGTGAGAAACAGCGAATTTGAGAAGAAGCAGCAGGCAGAAGCTAGAGGGCAGGAGATAAAGACTTGTTGTTCACTTGGCGTCTGCCAAGTTTTAAAAATTACAAATTCCGCACTTAAAAGTTTCGCCCAAGTGCGTTTAACAGCGCTTTATGTGCGCACTCTTGTATCCAGTGCCACACTGCCACAGTTGCCACACTTGCCACACTTGCCACACTTTCCACACTCTCCACACAGCAACAAAGCGCAAAGTTTACTTTTTTGCTACTTTCTTTCGTATTTTTTGTATTTTTTCGTATTTTTTTCGGGTTGAGGGCGAAGCTGCTTTTGGCACTTCTTTTCGGGTTGGGCTGCCGCTGCTGTTGCCGTTGCTGTTGCTGCTGTTTGTTAATCTTTCGAATTTCTGTTTTGTTTCTGCCGCATTTAATCAACGGCAAACACCAGCAATGAGCCACCTAAGTGAAGTTGACTTTAAACGAAAGAAGATTTAATGCCCCTTGAAAACATATTCGATGCAAATTTGTTGTGCTTTTATGGCTTATATGCTATTGAAAGGAATCGGAACATAGCAGGGCTTTGTTTGGCTATTGAAAAAGCTTAAGCTGATGGGCTTATGCTTTCAATAATAAGACAATAAGCAACTACGGATATGTATTACTTAGAGAGCTTAAATGTCAATAGCTGTAGGGATGAGAAGTGTAATGAAACGAATGATATTAGATGACTATATGGATTTTATTATATATCTCATTATAGTCCGATGGAATGCAATTTCGAGATAATTTATCATGTAACCCTTCTATTCCAATTAAAATAAATGTTACCCTATATATGAGTTGGGATAGAGCAATTGGATGATAAGCCCATTAAAAGAACTTTAAGAGTTAAGTCCTTAACTGAACTAACTTATTCTAGACGTGCATAAAAATGGATAAACATCGAGCTATACAACTTTATAGATAGGAATGGTCAGACTCCACTCTTAAGCCCCGATCAACAATATTCACATATCCTCCCAATATACTGCTCCGACTGCTCTGCTCTCAACTGTGCTACACACAAAGCTATCTAATTAATATACCTCCGCCTCGTTGTATTACAGCAAGTCAGCCATTTGGTCAAACTAGTCCGCCATTACGTATACGCAATATTCATGTACATGTATATATGTGTGGGTGTGGGTGTGTGTGTGAAAAGGGTTGCGTATACGCAACGTTGACAGAAAAGAGGGAAATGGTGTTTTGCAGAATGAATAGTCGTCGCTCTCTTATCGATGCTCCAAGAAGCTACAATTTTATAGCCGAAGCTACATAAATTACTCAGACAATTGCAAAGTCTTTAAGCTGGCGACATTTTGCAGTCCGAATGTGTCTCGCAATTGTTTCAAAATGCCTTTTAACGGACAGATATAGAAGAAGGCATGGCTGGGCATAGCTGGGCATGGCTGGGCATGGGTGGGCATGGCACCATTGTTGTGCTGGCCTCTATTTGGCCAATTTTTATTAGAGCTCGAATTACATTTTCATTTGATTGCCTTGCTCGACCCTTTGCCGCTGCGGCGCCTGCCCTTCCGCCCCCCATCCCCACCTTTGGGGTAACCATTAGAACTGGTTTTGTGTTTCGCTGCTGAGATTTCTTCTCGGTTTGTCTGTGTGTGTGTGTGTGTGTCTTTTTTCTGTCTTTGTTATGCTCGACCTTTGTGCCCTTTTGGCACATTGTTTCCAATTTATTTAATGACCTTAGTTTTGTTTTGCTGTGCCATTGTCGTTGTCGTTGTTGCTGTTGTTGTTGTTGTCGAGATGCTCAATTTTAATTACGTCGGGCTAAAAGTTTCGCTATGCCAAGTAGAATATATATATATATATATATATATATATATATATATATATATATATATATATATATATATATTTATTTATGCTCCAAGCTGCGCGCTCAATTAAAGTTTTGAATATTTGCGACTGTCAACATAAATGTTAAATATATCTCTATAAATATATCTTATATATATGACTGTAAAACTTCTTTGGTTATTACTTAATAAATATGATGTCTTCGGCAAGTAAGTGCGAAAATGCCCGTTCGCAACTATCGGAATACGTGCGTAAAATAGCGCAAATAAACAATCCTTTTGGCCTGGTTTTTGTGCCTTCGTTTTGTGATCCTTGGGCCTTTGCGTTTCTAATAAATTCATTCGATTGACGCCAAAAGTCGAAAAGCAAAGCAAAGCAAGGCAGGGCAAAGCAAAGCGGCAAAGCCATCAACAAAAGCTGGGCAAATGGCAACGGTCACGTAATACGTAAAAATAAAATTCATTTGCTTGTAAAAGTTTTATGCGGCAATTTATATGCTTTCCATCATAGACTCGGCACCAACTGCGAATTGCTATTCTATTCTGCATTCCCGATGTTCAATGCATTGAGAATTTGCCATCTATATATGTATATATGTATGTACATATAGACAATATGAAGCTGATAAGGGACAAACGCCAACGAAAAGCTGTGCCAAAGCCCCGCAATGGACTTCAAACTAAACCTTTTACAATCGTTTACGGTGCGAGGTCTGGATATTTAATAGAGCTACAGAGGTAGATAAGAGATAGAGAGAGAAAAAGACAGAGAGAGAGAGAGAAAGTGAAAGGCATAGGCAGGGAAAACTACATTAAATCGACTGCTTATTGGCCAAGTTGAGCAATATCTATAAAAGGAAATAGAGCGGCTAAGGAATTAGGAACTATAAAAACGTGAAAAGCAGTGAAAGTAGTGCTGCATCAAGATAAAATTATATATATATATCGAGAAGAAGGTGAGCTTTATATAATTTATTAACTATGAAAATAATTAGATAAAAATATCAGGAAACTGAAGAAATATTGCTAAAAATTATTTATTAAAATAAAAATAAATAAGTAAAAATCAAATAATTGAAATATGTTAAATTAAAAAAAAATAAAAAAAAATAATAATAATAATAATAAAAAAAATAATTAAATCACAAAAATTAAAATACAAACAAATAAAAAAAATAAATATTATAAAATATTAACAGGAACTAAAAAATAAGTAAATATATAAATAAACAAATAAAAATTAAATAATTGAAATATTTCAAATTTAAAAGGCCTTTTAGTTCACAATTGTGCCTTGTTATTTATTAAAATTTATCTTTAGTAAAACTATAAAAAAAAAAATTAAAAAAATAAAAAAATAATATTCATAATCCATGTTTTTAGTCAAATAAAATTATAATTAAAATTAATAATTAATCATATAAGTAACACGAAAACAAATCAGCTTCAACCTATTTGCTGCATATGCCGTAGAGCATTTTAGTTTTTTCTTCTTCTTAGCTGAAAATGTAGAAGGCTCTGTACAAAATATATTGAAACAATAAAATATTATGCTTCATATGTATTAAACATGAATTCAAAAAGTAAAATTCTAAAGAAAATGGAATATTTAAGTACATATGTGTGTCTATGTAAATCTATAAATTCATATATAGAATTTAAAATTTATTTATAAAATATTGGCAATATTGAAATCTCTATCTCAATATTAGCTATCCACCAATTACACATTTCTTATATATTCTGCCACATATAAAAAAAATCAAGTTAGGTTCAATTGTTTTTTCTGATACTTTAAAATGCAACTAATTTCTAGTTGATATTAGCCTCTTTAAGCTGAGCCGCCTCCTGTAGTCACGTTCTGTTAACACGGAATACAAAATGTTGTAACCAAATCCGTAAATATTTAATTTCCGAGCAAAAGTGAAAAGTTTAACAAGTTTGCAGCAAAGCTTTTCAGCGACCAGCTCAACTAGGTATATATTTATGTGTATGTGTGTGTGTGTGTGTATGTGTATGTGTATATAGAGAGAGATATATGTATATTTGTTTGTTAGTTCAATTCGCCGTCGCCGAGGGACTTGCCACAGGTTGCTGAAGCTACCACTGAAACTAGATGCCGTGTTGCGTGGCGACTTGTCTTTTGGGAGTGGCAGCTGGGGGCAGCTGCGGAAGGACTGGGCAGCTACTGGTGAAAACTTTGTGCTTGGGGTATAATTTTCGTAATGTCTTTAGGTTTAAATAAATACCACAAGCATAGTTTTATATTATTTAACACTTTGTGTGCTAGAGCAAAACTTTTGCCTCGCCTCTGCTGCTGTTCTACTTTCATTCTTTCTTTCTTGCTTTCTTTTCTGTTCGCCCTCTCTCTCTCCCTCTCTCTCTGTGTCTCTGTCTGTTTTTTGTTTTTGTCATTGCCAAATGAAGGAATTCTCTGCTATAAGTGTGTCTATGTATGTGTGCTTGTGTGTGTGTGTGCGCGCAAACTTGGCGAAAATACATTAAAAACTTTGCTGACGCATTTTCTGCGTCTCTAACCAAAGGCGCAGACTTTAGACTTTGGACTTTTAGCCAGCACTCGGGATAACTTGAGTCTCTGCTACACAGTTGCAGTTGTTCAGCTAGTGTGTGTGTGTGTGTATGTGTGTGTGTTGGTGTATAGCTTTGTCCATACCGGAAATAGTGTGAAAATTTCATTAAAATAGTGCTAGCTTCTTCTTCTTCTTTTCTTTGGTTTTAGCCCATTTACAAATTGTCAGAGATAAAAAATAAAAAAATATGAACTAATGAACTTTAGTCTGCAACTAAATGAAATGCTCATCATCGAATCGCCTAAGTGCATTGCAATTGCTGCAATTCTTTATAGCAAGTTGCATAATAATCGTTCCTTATAAATTCTTTGCCAAACTGTTGAGTAGGTCAGCAGAGAACCAGCTAGACACAGTGTCAAATGGAACCATTGCCAGGGGGCCAGGCGGACGTTCGAAATCTCAGTCAAGGCTACACACAACGCAGACATGCAGACATCGGCACAGAGATTGCATAAAACCAATATACTCTTGTTTATTCAACGCATGCACACGCATAAAAAAGATCTCAACTTTTCACTTTCCACTTTCCGCTTTCC